TGATTTTCACAAGGTCACTGTGACGATCTTAAAATCTTAACTTACAAGTGTTGAAATGCCAAAACAACTCTCAACACTATGAATGGCAACCACTGGATTGACAGTACAGAGCTCTCAGCTGCTGTTTTTTAACTCAGTATCAAGGGATCACTGTGTGCCCCTGCTGTCAACTTCCCCGTTCACACACAGTAATGACTTCCATTCAGCTGCCAAGACATTCACAATTTGCAGAAAGTACCTTACACCAATCTCCAGTGACAGAGTTTTTACAGACAACTCAAAAAAGGAGCAGAGAAATGAATAGCACAGCCCACTGCAGCACTTTTTAATCCTGTTACAAGTATCACTCAGAGTTTAGCATGAATTAACATTAATCAGCCCTTTGATAGCACTAACCTTATTTCTGCTCTAGAAGTTGTAGCAACAAATGAACAACTTGCCTGAACTTAAGCAAAATGACAAAACTGTTCAAATCTGCCACAAAACAAGAGTTTAGATTGATCTCACAGGCAGAACAGATCAATTATATTAATATGAACAATACATCATTTTAATTGCTGTTCTTTAAATGCAAGTATCTCCAAATAGTTTTATAACACTGCTGATGAAATGTTTAACTAGCTCTTAGTATTCCCCAAGTACTAGCTTTTAGGCACTGCCTTGGCTTCTTTGAGATTCTGTATTTCAATTATAAATAGTCCTTTCCTCCTTTGAGTTGTTAGACACAAGTCATTAAAACCGAGGTGCTTAAAGTTTATTTATCTAGGGATTCACTACAGCCACAGCAGCGATACTCCAGATTGCTTCCATCTTGCTGACTTTCTACACATGGACAAAGCTGATCAGTCCTAAACTAATGACATATTTTAAACAAACTCCACACGCTTCACACACCACCTAAACTCTCTCAAGAGCAAGAAGAAAATCCTACTAAGAATCTGCTGAATCACTGCAGCTCCCTGAAGCACATTCCCTTTATTGAACAGGACTTTAGACGCCTCTGTTTAATTAGTCTCACCAATTTTATTAGTTATTAAAGAACTACAGTAATATTTTAAGTGATGACAAGTGCTAAACTAAAAGAAATCAAATCTAAAAGGCTTTTTGGAACAATTGGATGAAAAAATATCAGTGCTAGAGTATTTCCAGTGTTATTTGGTCCAAAGAAACCAGACAAATATGTTTCCATACTGAACATGCATTATGAACTGCCATTTAATTTCTGCATATGTTAGTCTCTCTTCTGCTAATAAAACTAAGATCAATAATGTATCTTTGAAAATAAATCATCCCAACTGCTATGGCTGAAGTGTATTGTTTTACACTCTGCCTTTATAGATCATTTATTCCTCTGCTTGAATTGTTGATCATTAAATATTCTTAGCAGGAAAGACTATTTTAAACATAACAGTGGTGACAAAAAGCCCACACTGAGGGCACTTTTCCTCTCTTGTCAGGGTCTGCTTAAGATGACTCAACCAGCCCAGCAAACTCAGAATTTCATTTACTCTCCCTTTTCATAATATCCAATAACCTGACAGCTCCCAGATGAGAATTAGCATAATGCATGTTTGGAATCACAGAAAAGGAAAAACGAAGCCTCATAACCGTTTCAAGCCAACTTATCGCTCAAAATTAATCAATCATAGTCAACCTTTCTGATAAATTTAAGACTGTAACACTCCTGTTTATAATGAAATGCTCATACAGCTTCATAGTACTAAGTGCTATTTGCAAGACATTCCAGAAGAAGATCTAAAATCAAGCATCTAACAAGACCAAGATTACATAAATGCATTTTGAGTGCCTGCAGTCAGAGAGAGCACACTAAGAAGCCAATCTCATTAAAATGATGGGGCTTTTTTTCCATTCCAGAACAACTCAACCACATGGGCATAGGAATGCTAATAAATAAGACACAGGGTAACAAGGCATCACACACCAGCTATACAACAGGTCTATGATGGAAACGTACTGAGCTGTACTAACTACTTATCAATTAAATCAACCACCAAGAATTGTATGAAGTACTAATTAGATCAAGAGGAAATGTCTGTCTCGCTTTGCTTCACTCATCTTTATTTCACGCTTCAACAACTTCGTTTAGCTCTGATTATTCAAATCCATAAAATACATTTTTTCTTCAAATCTTCTCTATGGTGCATGCAAGTACAGAATAAGCATGCACAGCAAACATTCTGCATGTCCAAAATATTCCTGAGAGCGCAGACATCTTAGTATTATTCTGCATGTAAGGAAGAAATATTAAGGTCCAGATTTCCACTTCTACACTAATACTAATTTGCAAAGGTAGCCATGTTATTTTAAAGGCCTTTTGTAATGCAAACACACATGAAAGTATAACAAACCATAATGAACACAAACATTTAACTAGTTTGTAAACACCAGTAACAAAGTGAAAAACCATGCTTTCAATTCGCTTTGAAGTAAATTATGACAAAGAAATTGAGACAGCATACACACAAATATTAGCATTATATAGGTACTGCATGTGTCTAATAATATCAAGAATTATTTTTGTTATAAAGTTACAAATAGAATGAATCCTACTTTATCTGCTCTGAACCCTACATTATGTGCTCTCGAATAACAGATCAAATTAGGAGTTCTTAAAAGATGACATTGGTAACAACCAGGGATTCAATAAAGCAAATGCTCCAGGCAGTTCTTTGAAGGTTTACATTAGCAGTCAACGTTACTACTGCTGATGTAAATTTAAGGAGTTGTCTAATGGGGGATCTAATGTGCCAGAAAACAATTACCATAAATCAATTCCCTACCTATAATTCAATAAACTACCCTTGCCAAATGATAAGCCTTCCCCTTCCTGAGGCACACAGGACACTCATTCGGGATTCCCTGGCTATAAAGACGCACCTGTGTGCTATGCAGTAACATTAGTAAATCTATTACAATGAGCTGCAGTGTGCAAAGGGAAAAGAGGTGTTGCCTTGGAAGAAGAAAAGGGCCCCTCCCTTCCACCATCTCCACCTGGAACAGATGTGCTGCTCATCAGGTTACATTTACAATGCAACCCTAGGAAACACTTTGAGATAGGACACGGAACATGTGGAGCAAGTCCAGAGGAGGCCACGAAGTTGATAAGAGGACTGAAACACCTTCCCTATGAAGACAGGCTGAGGAAGTCGGGGCTGTTCAGCCTGGAGAAGAGAAGACTGCGTGGAGACCTCACAGCAACTTTTCAATATCTGAAGTGGCCTACAAGGGAGTTGGAGAGGGGCTCTTTATTAGGAACAGGACAAGGGGTAATGGGTTCAAATTGAAGGAGAGGAAGTTTAGGCTGGATATTAGAAAAAAAGTTTTTTACTGTAAGGGTGGTGAGACACTGGAACAGGTTGCCCAGGGAGGCAGTGGATGCCCCAACCCTGGCAGTGTTCAAAGCCAGGCTGGATGAGGCTGAGCATCCTGGTCTAGTTGGGAGGTGTCCCTGCCCATGGCAGGGGGTTGTGACTAGATGATCTGTAGGGTCTATTCCAACCCCTAAAATTCTATGATTCTATGATTCTAATACAACTGGGACATGTATCAGACCTACTGTACATGACACACACAGGAAGTGCAGTCTGTCCCAGACAGACTATATAATTTAAAAGTAACAAGCTTAGTGTAGACTAATCTATCTGATTCACTGAGCATGGGGTTTTTTGCCCAAGACCTGTAGACATGAAATAATCTCAGACAAACTGCTGATTTCCTATGAGGAAACCTCCAGGTGACAAAATGAAAGATGCCTAGATACACTCAGACATATGGTAGCTAAACCTCTGCATCAGTTTACATTTGAGAAACAGTGGAGAATGATTTGAAAACACACTTTTGTAACATGAGTTAGAAGGTTTTCCTATTGGGCTCTTCTGCCAGTGATAACACAGTAGCAAGGTAAAATCATCTGGTTTAAGTCAGCACTGACCATTTTGGAACAGAAAACAGACTTGAAAAATATTCTGTGTTATATCAATGACAGACAATCATTTCATATTAATTGCATGCTGGTTTGGTGTTATTTTAGTTTGGGGTTTTTTTTTGGAGGGGGACACAGAGGGGTTGTTTATTTCCTTTTAAGTTTTAAGCATACACTAAAACTTGCTGAAGTATGTATTTATATAACAAACAAAGCATATATACCAATTCCCCAATATTTTAAAGGTAGTATAACCTACCATTTCCAGAAGCTTCTTTAGGTATTTTTTAAAATATACCATGTGGAACAACAGTGGTTAACTAACTTGCAAACTTTACTGGTTTGAGATATAAACAGAAAGCCCTTAAAAACTGTACTAAGTGAAAAAAGACAGTGAAAAAGGATGCACTTTTAAAAACCCAGTTTTCTGAGTGATAAATCTATTTAATTGACATCTTTCAGGAAACAATGAGACCTGAGGTTCATTATCAGAAGACCATGAACAGGTAAAAAAAAAAAAAACCTTCAGAAATATTTATCCTTTTTCTTATCTTTATCAAGTCACATCTATAGACAAGTCTGAAGCAGGAAGAATAATACATTTCTAACAAATCACTTACCCCTTTGTGACCTCAAAGGAAAAGAAGGATGCTGAACATGCTTCTATTTTTACAGACTAATCACCTAAAAATAAGCTGCTGAATCACTATAATTATAGTCTAATCATATTATTAACTGAATATTATATTATGATACTAGTTATTATATTAGCTATTATCACAGTAGCATCTCAATGTCTTTGGAACTAAAGGATTCTTGTAATTCAGGAAGAGGCTAAGCATCGAAGCAGGAGTCAGCATTAACCAAACTCCTGTGATGGGGATGTTGTGTCCTCCACTTTTGCCTTATTTGACCAGACAAATTAACCCTTTCCATACCAACACAGGAGATTAGTGCTTCAACAAAAACAATAAAATAACAACAGCAGCAAAACTACACGTATCCCATAGTCTAGCATACAATCAATGATTTTGAAGAGTCAGTAAAAACCACTTACCACACCAATTCCTTCAAAAGCAAATACTGCAGTCCCAAAAAACAGTGGGTATTTCTTCCAGCCAACCACAGGAGGCAGTTTTCGCGGATCTGCTATATCCTGAAGAAAACAAAGCAAAACAGTGCTATGTCAAGCGCACTAGTTCTTCCTACAGTTTCAATTGATGCATTATGTTATAGGAAAGAAAACTCAGTACAAGTTGACAGTTGTGTATACAGTGTTATTTATGATCCCTGGTTTTCCTCTCAAACTTAGTCCTTTACACACATTACAGCCACCTACCCACATAGACACATGCATAGGTATTTATTCTAGGTTCCTATCACCGTCATTAGAAATTTGCACACTTAATTACACTGGTGTATATGAGGGAACATCAATTATAACAAAAAGGAAAGCTCACATCTCAAGTTTAACCTTCTGCAAAATTCTCAGTGTATTTAATTTTCTAACCTGCTCACATACTGCACAGATATTCTTCACAATCATAAGAGGTAGTAAAAGAAAATCTTTTTAATACAAGCTGAGTTCCTGCAGAACAATTAATTACTATCTTCCCAATTTCTTCTACGTAACTTCTCCTATCCCCCCCCCCAGCCAATACTTCTCACTGCCTTCCTCCCCATTCTCCATTTGCCACTCATCAAAATACATAATTTTATTATCTTAAATGCAGCAATATTATCCTTTCTTTGAAACGCACTGTAAAAGTCATGTGTAAAGCATGTCACAGATTTTAAAGCATCTCCTTAAATTAAGATGCCTCAATTAAATACATGATAATTCTGCCATTCGGAAATTGTCAGTCAGTATAAATCTATCAAGGACTAACTGCCACATGCAAAAACACAACTCACCACACTAAAAAAATGGATAATAAACTTTTTTTATACTCACTCTAACAATATACTGGTAAATGATCACCAGGCTGACAGCCATGGACAGATTGGCAAGCGATGAAAGGAAGGACAGGCTCTTAAGGTCACGAATAAAGACCAGGAGGACCAGGAATGGTAGGAAACACAGCATATATATTCGTAAATCAATACTCTTTTTCTCAGACGAACTGCTAGTGGCACTAACATTCATGGGAACAGTCTTACTTTCCAAGAATCCTTCATGGACCTTTATTTTTTTACAAAAAAAA